TAGGGGTTAAGGTTTGGGGTAGGGTACTCTGGGTCCAGCTTGCCAGGGGCCTCGAAACAACACGCTAGTTACATGGACAGACAACAAGCTGCAAAAATCCGCGTGATCAGACAGAGCCTTGGCCCTTGGTGTTGTGTGTTGGAGGCAACCCCAAACAAAGGACTTGCGTTGGCAAGAAGAAGCCCCATCTTCTTGCAACCATCGAGTTGTGTATTCCTTGTGCTGTAGTTTACCCGCAACCCAAACCCGACAAGGTCGGGCGATATACTCCCCACACCTCAATTGCGGGGTAGAACCCCCCCCCCCCCCCGCCGTTCCCCAGTGGAAGGGGTTTAACAGACAAAAGACAAATAGCTGACGAAGTCCAGAGAATCTGGGGCTGATCGAAATCATTATGGTCCACTGTGTTTGGAGCCCTCCCCACCCCCCCTCCCATGTATGCACATGAAAGTTTCCGAAGATTCGGGGTATGCGGGATGTAAATATCGAGCCCTCGCTACCGCAAACGCTTGAAAAAACAGGGCGGTCTCAGTGCCAGGCCTCTCGCTCCTCGGTCAGCGAGGCCCTGCTAGATGTGGCGAGGAGTATTTGAGCCACAGGGGTTTGGGCCAAAGGCCAGGTAAGGCTTAGGGAAAACCTTACAGCTTATAAGGTAGGTAGCTGAGAATTAGGTACTTATACAGAGGTTAGTGTTAGTTATTTCTTCCGGGTACTACTTGCTAGGGTTTAATGGGGCAGAAAACGGCGCCGGGCCTAAGGAAGGCTTGTCTGTTTCAAAGTCCTTCGCGTGCTTCTGTGCATTCTGTGCGGCGCAGGTACTTGGCTGTGGTTGATCGACCATGGTGCTGAGTATACCCTTCAACCCCAAATGGCATTGTGGCTGCCACCTGCAAGACTCACAGGCCCAGAAAAGGCCAGCCCTAGCCCGCAATCCACAGCAGCCCGGAAGCCCGAAAACTCTGAAACCTCCACCCCCAAAAGTATCTCTTCAGCAGCTTGCCAGAATCCTCTCATTACCCCCCAAACCCAAAACCCAAAACCCAAATCCCTAAACCCTAAACACGAAGCCCTAATCCCTAAACCCCAAACCCTAAACCCTAAACCCCCAACCCCCGAACCCTGAAAGCATAACAATTTCATCTCCGGATGAGTCTGAGCCGGGAGCTTGACGGCCTTCCGGAGTTCATCGTCCTCCTGCCCCATTGTTCGGGTTTAGGGTTTAGGGTTTAGGGTTTAGGGTTTAGGGTTTAGGGTTTAGGGTTTAGGGTTTAGGGTTTAGAGTTTAGGGTTTAGGGTTTAGGGTTTAGGGTTTAGGGTTTAGGGCTTAGGGCTTAGGGCTTAGGGTTTGGGGTTTAGGGTCGATGTCTTGGTCCCTTGTGCTCAGGGAACTCTTTACAGGTTGTTGGAGACATGGTAAATGCAATGTACCTGTTTCCGAAAGGCTGGGCTGTACTCTGCTGCCTTGTAGGGCTCTCTGAACCCTAAACCCTAGCCCTAAACCCTAAACCCTAAACCCTAAACCCTACACCCTAAATCCAAAACCCCGCGGGTACACGCAAGAAGAGGACTGACCACAGGGCAACAATTCACAAACTGCACGGAAGCTCGTGGCTTTGTCTTGGGGGATTGGGGGTTTAGGCTAAGGGTGTAGGGTTTGGGGTCCTGAGTACTAAACACCCAAAACCCCAAACTCTAAACCCCTTCTTGGAGGTTCAGGGTACTTACAACCCCAATTATAACTGTACTTAGAAGCCTCCTAAGTCCCCTAAGCAGGTTATAAGTAGCTTTATAATTGTGGTTCTAAGTACCCATGAACCTCCAAGTTTGGGGAAGCATGGGGTTCGGGTAACTGGGTTTACGGCCAAAAGGGCTACCCCTAAACCTTAAACCCAAAACGCCGAATCCCGAAACTACTACCCTAGATTAGGAACAGCCTTCCCCTCGGGATTTAAGGCTTAGGGCTTCGGGTTCAGGGTTAGTCTAAACCCCCAACTCCCCCAAACCCTAAACCCCCCAAATCCCGCAACCCCCCGCACCTTAGCCTGAAACCTCGAGGCCCCTGAACCCTTAAAACCCTAAACCCTAAACCCTAAACCCCGCATCACTCCTAAACCCCAACCCCACCCCCCTAGATCTTCAACTTCTCAACCTAAAACGCCCATACATCCTGTTCAGATATAAACCCCCAAACCCGAAACCCCAAACCGTAAACCGTAAACCGTAAGCCGTAAACCCTAAACCGTAAACCGTAAACCCTAAACCCTAAACCCTCAATCCTAAACCCTAAACCCTAAACCCGACCTAAACACCAAACCCTTAACCCTTAACCCTAAACCTTCTGGAAGCCCTTAAGCCGCCTTCATGAGCTTCTCGACGTCTCCGCTGTTCTTCTCCGCCCCAGCTGCGAAGAGGCGAGCGACCTCGACTTGTTGATGAATGCTGCCTTTCTTCCCTAAACCCCTACCGTGATACCCCAAAAAGCTGGAACATCCTTATCCTCGTACCGCAAAAGGTAAAATAAGGGAATCCCAGCTCTAATCATCCTGAAAACATGTTCCAACTTTCTGGAGTTTACTGTAAACCCTTTTGGGGGTTTGTCTAGGGCGTAGGCTTTAGGGTGTTCGGGTCTAGGGCTTTAACTCAGACTGAGGGCCTAAGTTTAGGATTTTGGACTTAGGGTTTAGGGTTTAGGGTTTAGGGTTTAGGGTTTAGGGTTTAGGGTTTAGGGTTTAGGGTTTAGGGTTTAGGGTGAACCCTAAATCTTAAACCTCTACATCATACATACGAAAAAATGTGAATGCACCATGGGGCAAGGTCAAAAAATGACTTGGCAAGCTCATGAAAACCTTGATTCCAAGGGTAATCCCTAAACCCTAAACCCTAAACCCTAAACCCTAAACCCTAAACCCTAAAGCTTAAGGTTCAGGGCCGAAGGCCCATGTCCGAGTGCTGAGGATTTGGGCTTTAGGCTTTAGGCTTTAGGCTTTAGGCTTTAGGCTTTAGGCTTTAGGCTTTAGGCTTTAGGCTTTAGGCTTTAGGCTGTAGGCTTTAGGCCTTAGGCTTTAGGGTTTAGGAATTTTTGGTTTAGGCTTGGGGTTTGGGTTGTGTGTGCAACTTTTTGCTAGATCTTCCTGGTATGGGATTCTTGGGTGGATAGTTTTCGGGCGCCTGAAAAGCTGCTAAACTAGTGAATGCTTGGACTGAGATGAGGAACCCTAAGCCCTAAACCCTAAACCCTAAATCCTAAACCCTAAATCCTAAACTCTAAACCCTAAACCCCAGCCGAAAATGCCGGAGGTGAGAGGCGACGTAAACGTTTAGGGTTTAGGGTTTAGGCTTAGGCTTAGGGGGCCCCAGGTTCCCCTTGTTTGGAGTCTTTTAGGGTTTAGGGTTTAGGGTTTAGGGTTTAGGGTTTAGGGTTGAGGGCTCCGCCTTCATACAACCCCAGAAAAAGAAAGCATCAATCCCTTAGCCTAAGCCCTATGATTTATGTAGGGTTTAGGGTTTAGGGTTTAGGGTTTAGGGTTTAGGGTTTAGGGTTTAGGGTTTAGGGTTTAGGGCTTAAGGCTTAAGGCTTAGGGCTTAGGGGCCCATAAACCCTAAAGCCACGAAGATTGCGCAGCGGGGGCATGCTTGGCTCCTGGCAATTGCCCTCAGCTTTCCTGATGCAGGGTTTGGTTTAGGGTTTAGGGTTCCTAAACCCTAAACCCAAAAAACTTTAAAGTTTTAAATCTAAACCCTGAACCCTAAACCCTGATGCCGTCAGGATGGGTCCACACGCCGTCCACAGATTAGGGATCCGAAGATTCGGCCGGGCCCCTAATTTGGGTCCCTTGCCATATAACACCAAGGGCCCCTGGTTCAACCATGTTCAACCTAAGACAGATGCACCGTGTCTGCAGTTTAACCTCAGGATTTGAGGGTTTTAGGTTCGGGGTCTTACTATGAGCGACGGTCAAAACTCTATGTGTCGGGCCTAGGTCGCTCAATAGGGCTCCTCCAACTCGCTCAGACTCCGGCTAGGCAGATCAATTCACAGGCGTGCATAGGGCCTCGCTTTTCGGTCTTCCCCCGTCGCGTTACAGGGTTTTTGTTACGGGATAAAGGGGGCGTCGCTTTTCGGTGTTACTCCTTGCTTTAGAGGGGGCTTTGGGGCCTAAACCCCAAACCCTAAACAGGGTTTTGACCCTTGCCCTTGTGGCTTTAAGTACGCGGTGGACCTCTGCCACAGGCCGGGTTTAGGTTTTAAGGTTCTACTGAGATACGCCGCCCCTAAGAAAGTACCTGAAAGTACACTACGTTGGAACCCTCTTCTGTAAACCCCCAAGCCCAAAACAAGGCCTTTCCGCGAAGTGATCTCTTCTTGGCTTGGCCATGGGAAGGATCTGAGTACCTGCATGCCCCTAAACTGCCCCCCCTAACTCTGCAGTTTTGGGGGATACGGCGAGGCAAGGTCATGTTCTTCGACCTCAGACCCCCCTAAACCCTTCAGCGGGCTAGTGTGTAGGTTTCAGGGTTTGGGTTTAAGGTAACTTGCATTAGCACCTTCTGAGCTGTATGCAGACGTGGAAAGACAGTGCCCCTTTTTTCCGGTGCGGCTCTGTTTAAAAGATTGAGGTCCTCAATCGAGAATGCTACACACGGCAACTTCTCCTAAGGTCGAACCCCCTTTCCAGTTCTCTTGATAGTAACCCTATTCCAAACCCTAAACCCTAAACCCTAAACCCTACACCCTAGACCCTAAACCCTAGTATAACCCCATACGGTCTCTCTCTCTCTCTCTCTCCCAAGAACCGTATTCCAAGGTCTGCGCTGGGGGGGAGCTCTTCTGTTAGAAGAAGAAGCAGACGAAGTGGTGGGCGAGGTGCCATACGCTGGGGTAGCGAAAGCACATCCTGCACATCATGCTATGCACAAGCACGGCCTCTTGTGAAGCTTGTGTTTGCCGTGCGGGAATCAAGCACATTATAAATCTTCTCCTCGGAAAAATCCTTAAAAGCTCAGTCTGCATCTGTACATATACCAACCAGGAAGAAAGGCTGGTGCGAAGTTGCTGCGGATGAATTCTTGCTGTGGCGGAGGCTCTTGCGGCCGCGGCGGAGAGATTTCAGGTACTGGTCCTCCCATGTGATCCGAGCGACCTTCTCCAGCTGAATCTGTTGCTTTTGAGAATGTGAGTTGGCAAGGAGGGTCTTCCCTAGGCCTTCCAGGCCTTTGGAGAACTCGGTGTGCTCCGTGCGGGGATAGAGCCAGATCAAGAAGAGCTGTAACATGGCCAGAAACAAACCACACACATTCGGAAAGATGAGCGGAATGCTTCGCTCGATGACCCCGACACAAAGCCACAGGAAGCTGCAGGAAAGTGCGAGAAAACACTGCGCAGCTGGGAGTGGCCTGGAGCACCTCCCAACCACCACGCGGCTCAGCACCGCCAGGGGGGCTCCATAGCTCAGGATGCTCACCACCATGGCCATATATCCTGAGTTGGCTAATTTAGAACCTGCCGACAAAACCCACTATTCCCAAGAACGATCCCTCTTAAACCCCCCCCAATGAACGAAAAGGAACGGCAGATCCCAAATAAACCGAGTATCCAACCTGCTGGACATGTGAGGACGAGGATGCCGCGTAGACCAGGGCCAGGAAGATTGCCGCAAAGGACAGGAGGGTCCTGGTCAGCGTGGCTCTGCCCCACGTCCTTGCTGGCTCGTCTAGGAACTCGAGAACTACCCACACACCCCCTTTAAGGGACAAGCCTAGAACCCTATACCCTAAGCCCTAAACCCTAGATATCTTAGATGCCCCAGGGCAATCAATTAAAAGACTCTACAGGGAACCCCTCTTCTCAAACGCCTTACTAAGAGATAGCAGGCATCTGCTCGCGGCGATGGCGTGCATAGAACCAGCAAATGGACAAGGAGTAGCAGCATGCCGCGAGCCCGATCGTGTTGCTCAGCACCAAGGGAGGAAGCGGGAAAAAGATCGCGTACCAGAGCCACAGGGCGGAGTTCACGAGCATGAGGAGCAAGTTCATGGGGCACACGTCCCTCAGAGTTTCGCCTTTGGAGCGCTGCAGCCTCTGCACCTCCAGAAGTGGGGAGAGGAGAAAGCAGAGAGTTGCCACTGCGGCTGCATACGCAAGGTAGGGACTCAGATCCTTCAGCATCCTTATGTGCTGCTTCTTGCCCCCCGGGCTTCCAGAAAATCACGCGAACTTGGGCCGTAGGGGCACGGCGTCACGAAGCCTCTCTGCAGTGAAGTTGAGTGGCAGCTCAAGTTCAACCCGCGTCTACCCAAACCCTCTACCCTAAACCCAAAAACCTCAAGCCTATCACCCTAAACCCTAAACCCGATGGCCCGAAACCCTAAACCTTAACCTCAAACCCCAAACCCAACCCAACATGAGGATCGCACAGGGTTGCTATAAAGTCGGCCGACAGCACCCTGCAGCAGTGAGTGTCTGCCACGCCACCCCCTTAACCTTACTGTTGGTTAGTAGGGAATGGGGGAAATGAAGTACCCTACATCATTTTTCAAAGGGTATATATAGGGGGACATAGGGTACCTCATTCCCTCATTCCCTGCTAACCAACAGTAAGTAATCCCCCTCCCCCAACCAGCTTCTCTCTTCGCTTTGGGTTTGTGTGGGCCTCGGGTTTAGGGTTTAGAGTTTAGGCTTTAGGGTTTCGGGTTTAGGCTGTTACCTAAGGGTTCAGGGCTTAGGGTCCAGTCTGGAAGACATGCGTGCCGCGCAAGACTTTGGTCCTGCTTTCATCTGATCTCATGACTCCTAGATGCACTCTTGCCCACGAAGGAAGTGCATCAGCCCGCGTTCTCTCGCATGCGCTCTTCCAAAGCTCAAGTGTTGAGAGCTGCTCCTGTCGATGGGGCCTGATTGCAAACTGTGACCCTCTGCGTCGTATATATATATATATATATATTTATGAACTCCATATCTTTATTTATTTACATATGTATATATGTATATATATATAGCTTTTGAACTCCAAAACACGCTAGAAACCCTAACCCATCTACTTCAAGCATATACACCCTGAAGCTTTAACCACGGCGCAGAAGCCACACCTTCGACAAATCAAAAAAAGGGGAGGCTCAGGGTGGAGGGGGGCGGGATGATCCAAATCATGGACCGCTTGAGGTAAGAGCTAAGCTATAAGGGTTCTAGGGTTTGATGCGGTTAGGGCTGAGGGCTTGGGGTTTAGGGTTTAGGGTATGAACAAATTAAACCATGGGAATATCCTGACAGAGACCTCAGCAAGGAAACCAAACATGGAGACCGACCCTCACATCGGCAGTTCTATAATCCCTAAACCCTAAACCCTAAACCCTAAACCCTAAGCTCTAAGCCCTAAACCCTTTCGGTGTACCCTGGACAAGGTCTTCAGGGCCCTAAGGACACGAAACCCTGAGGCTAGAGGGGCTTATAGTACCCCAAAAAGTGTGTAAAGCATACTCACTCAGCTACTCAGCACTATACCCTAAACCCTAAACCCTAAACCCTTAAAGTTCCCAAAAAGGCCCTCAGCTGAAAGCTTCAGGAATTCTTGAGCTTTGGGGACGTGAGGCTTGCGAGAGAAAGAAAAAGCAACATGGCGCGTGGAGGGCGGATTAGCGTTAAGGGCTTATGGGGTTTAGGGTTTAGGGTTTTTGTGGTTTCGGGCTTCGGCTCTAGGTTACCATGGAATCTGAGAAACGGGGTCTTATGACAATAGCCCGCAAGAAAGGGCGTCGTTGTGGGTTCTTTCGGCCATTTATTTGGGATCCTGGAACCCTGCAAACCTGTCTAATTCCCTTACTTTATATCCCCCCTAGACGGGTCATTTCTAGGGGTATAGAAGCAAGATACCTAATTCCCTAATCTGGGTTGGCATTCAACCCTTTGAAACATGTCCCTTAATACAAAATATCCTAAAAGCCAACCTAGCTAATTCCACAATTTTCCTACAAGTTTCGAACGCTTGGGCAGCAGACGCTTCGCAGAAAGCATGTCAAAACCTGAACCTCAGCACAGGGTCTCGGGTTTTAGGGGTTTAGGGTTTAGGGTTTAGGGTTTTAGGGTTTAGGGTTTAGGGTTTAGGGCTGAGGGTTTAGGGTGCTATTTGGGCCTAGTGCTGCGTGGCCTATGAATCTGACATCCAGCTCCTCAACTTTTGGAACGAGCATGCGCCGCTCAGCACTTCTGATGCAAGGCTTCGCTCCAAGACGCTAGAACTCCGGACCCTTGAAATTGTAGTAGGGTTTAGGGTTTAGGGTCTAGGGTCTAGGGTCTAGGGTTTAGGGTTTAGGGTTTGGGGTTTGGGGTTCAGGGTTTAGGGTGCAGGGATTAGGTATTGAAATGATTAAGGGTTCAGTCAGGTCCAGGGGAGTTTTGGGGAGTTTCGAGGAATTTCGTTTTTTTTTTAACTTTTGGATGATTTCAAGTTGCAGGGACTTGAGGGCTTAATTAGGGTTTAGGGGTTTAGAGGTTTAGGGGTTTAGGGGTTTAGGGTGTAGGGTTGTAGGGTGTAGGGTGTGGTGTAGGGTGTAGGGTTTAGGGTTTAGGGTTTAGGGTTTAGTGGCTACCAAGTCAGGCGCAGAAGTGGAGTGGACATTCGGCGAGGTGCACTTTCTGTTAAAGACTGGCGTAGGTGCTTCCGTTGCCAGAACTGATGGTGACGGTCATGACCTTTCTCACTCTACTGCTGACAGATGATGCCAAGAATTGAGGATGTTCCCCCGCATACTAACAGTCCTTTGTAGGGGGTACTCTGTGAATATAAGGGGGAACATCCCAGCTAAGACCTTAAACCCTAAAACCTAAACCCTAAACCCTAAAACCAGCAGCCAGCGGTGAGAACGGTCTCGACGTCGAAGGATATTTCGGCTCAAGCTCAGGTACCTGAAAACTACTACTTGCTTAAGAACCCCCCCCCAAAGAAAAAAACTATATGTATATATATATTTATATTTATATATTTATTTATATATTTTTCTTCCTTATATAAGGGTACTGGTAGGGATTACAATCTTGTGTTTTTGGGGTTCTCAGGCAAAAAAAACAACAGATTCTTCCTTGTAAGGGTACTGTAGGGATTACTATCTAAACCCTAAACCCTAAACCCTTAACCCTTAAACCCTAAACTTTGGGGGGTTCTTACGCAAATGGTAGAAAATGGACGGGTCCAGGCTCTTGGCTGGCACAGCGAAAATCGTCCAGACAAGATGTAGGCGCTCTCCCTTTCTGAACATGGGCTATCAGGGGCCCTAGAATCCCCATAGTCAACCCTCTAAAGGGCCTCTTTAAGGGGTTATAAGTTATAAAGTATAACAGCCCATGTAGGTTCTGAACATTAAAAAAGTTGTTTTCGCCAAGGGCAAGTCCTGTGCGCAAAGACTAGCAAAAAAGACACGGCCCTCAAAAGGAGGAACAGGTTTCCCTCTAGTTCCCGCAACCGCCCTAAACCCTAAACCCTAAACCCTAAACCCTAAACCCTAAACCTTCAACCCTAAGTCCTCAACCCTCCAGCACTTGGACTGCCGCAGAAGACTTATCGGGCGAGCAGTGCATTGCTCCTCCCGCGTTGAACTGTGCACGCTGTCTAAGGGGAAGTTACACGATCCCTGAATATGTTGAGGGTTTAATAGGGTTTAGGGTTTAGGGTTTAGGGTTTGGGGTTTAGGGTTTAGGGTTTAGGGTTTAGGGTTTAGGGTCTAGGGTTTAGGGGCCCTTAATGTGGCCCCGTACCTTCTTTAAAGGGTTCTGAGGAATCGGGTTCCCCAAGTAAGGGGCCCATAGTAACAGATCACGAAACTACCCCAAGACAACTCGAAGCGGCTCATCGTACAGCAAGATGTAGTTGAAGATGGTGCCACACGCGACTCTCGGCCATCAGATGCGACAGCCGTTGAAATACCTCAGAATGGTGATTGCACTTGCAAGCAAGGGCCCCCCCCACAATCTTGGCACTGAGAACCCTTTACCGGGATCAAAGCAAAGGGTTACAAAGGGGCACATAATTTCCCGAAGTCCCCGAAGATGAAGCTCGGATAATATAAGGACCTTAACCATGGGCATAGGGTTTTGGGGGGAGTATCATAGTACCATTACAAAAGGGACCCTAAGGGAATACTACTAACTAGTTATTCCGACCCCTATTAGATTAAGTCTTGGCAGCCCTTTCTCATTGATCGTCATGCCGGCCACCATGATGGCAATGCCTGCAGCAGCCCAAGAGTTCATCCAGCGTCAGATGTTTAGGGTTTAGGGTTTAGGGTTTAGGGTTTAGGGTTTAGGGTTTAGGGTTTAGGAACCCGAAGCCCTAAACTCTATATTGGTGAGGGGGGGGGGGGGGGGCTGAAGGGGGTGAACGGGGTGAAGGCCGAGACGGCACACAAACTCTGCAGCAGATCCTGCTACGCTGGAGTTTTGGGTTGGGCTTTATAGGGTTTAGGGTTTAGGGTTTAGGGTTTAGGGTTTAGGGTTTAGGAGGGTGGACAGGCTGCCACTGCTGCTGTTCCCGAAGCTGGAACCCTCAACCCTGCTGGGCAGGGGCTTAGGGTTTAGGGCTTAGGGTTTAGGGCTTAGGGCTTAGGGCTTAAAGTTTAGGGTTCAGGGTTTAGGGTTTAGGGTTTAGGGATTAGGGTCAGTTTGGGGTTTCGGCTGGCCTGCGATGATGATGATTGCCGGCAACACTCCAAGCACTAGGATCGTCAGCCAGTCCTCAGTGTACGAATCTCTTGTCGATCGTTCCAAACCACCTCATAGGGTTTAGGGTTTAGGCGGTTTAGGGTTCAGGGTTTAGGGTTTAGGGTCTAGGGTTTAGGGTCTATGGTGCAGGCATGGTTAGGGTAACCGTAAGCCCTGTAAGCCCTCTCAAACATGTGGTCTCCTTGTGCTTAAGCTAACTAAGCCTATACGCCTTAAAACCTCGACTTACCCTAATGAACGTGGGCCCAACCCGGGCCCCCCACATCTAGAATCTAGAGAGCTGACAAGTTGACGGGTGCTACGGCGATGCCGCCAACACCCGTAGCACCAAGGGGTTCACGAGTGCGGGTAGAAGCGGAGGTACTGTCAATCTACATATAACTTACTTCGGGGACTTAGGGGCTTTCAAGTACCCCTAAACCCTAAACACTAAACCTTAAACCCTAAACCCTAAACCC